GAATAATTGGTGGTCTTGCTAACACAGTTGGAGTAGGTGCTGAAGGCACAATAATCGATTGGTGCTCGATATAAGAGTTAGGATATGGAGAAACATCATCTGATTGTTCTGTCAAAGTACAGGTAACCTGATATAATAGCCATTCATCTTCCTCCCCCTGACTTGTAGAGATGGGAGGTACATGAGAGATTATAATCTCTGAAAACACTACATCAGTTGACACCAGATATTTGCCAACTTCAGTATGAATAACACTAATACCCCTTCTGAAGGTGAGAATAACCAAGAAAAATACATTTCAATGCCTTGGGATCCAACTTAGTAATAAATTGTCGAACATCTCAAACATAACATGTGCTTCCAAACACCTTAGGCTCCACGTGAAATAATGACTTGTTTGGATAAAGAACACAGTAAGGCATATTGCCACCAAGCACAATATATGGCATGCGATTAATCAAAAAGCAAGTCGTGGAGACTGCATCAGCCCAAAACTATTTAGGAACCTTCATTTGGAACAAAGGTGCCCGAGCTATCTCAAGTAGATGTATATTCTTCCTCTCAGCAACTCCATTTTGAGAGGCTGTATCAACACATGAAGACAGATGTAGTACACCATGTTGTCTCATGTAGGACTGAAATAACTCCGACATGTATTCTTTAGCATTATCATGCCTTAGAATACGCACTGAAGCATTAAATTGAGTTTTGACTTCAGCACAGAAGGCAGAAAAGTGAGTAAACACTTCAGAGCGACTCTTCATAAAGTAAATCCAAGTCGTACGGGAAAAATCATCTACAAAAGTGACAAAATACTTATGCCAGTTTTAGAAACAACAAGACATGGTCCCCAAACATCATAATGAACTAACTCAAAATCTGACTCCGCTCACTTATTAACCCTTGGACCTAACGAGATGCAATGATGTTTTGCAAATCGACATGACTCAATCCAATGAAAAAATATTCTGAAATTGAGGAGAGAGTTTCTTTAACAAATACAGAGTGGGATGCCCCAATTGACAATGTGCTTCAAAAGGAGACACGATACTGGAGCATGCAATAGACTATGGCTTCTATTCATCAAGGATACAGAGATCACTAGATAAATATTCTTTACCAATAATCTGTTGCGTCATAAGATCTAGAAATAAACAATGATTGGGAAAGAACGCTACACAACAACTAAGATCTCTAGTGATTTTACTAACAGAAATCAAATTAAAGACCACGTTTGGAAGACTTAATACAGATGACAAGTTAATAGAGGAAGTTGGTTTAACAGTCCCAGATCCAACACTGCTACAAGTTGTGCCATCAGCTACAGTAACTGTAGAGGGTGCTTTGTGTGATCAAAAGCTAGAAAAAATATTCAGATTACCTGTCATGTGATTTGTGGCACCAGAATCAATCACCCATTTATTTGAAGAGGTGATAAGACATGTCTTATCTGACCCAGCAAAAGCAGTAACTGAAGAGGATTCCTTCATTGCTTTATGATATTGAAGGAACTCAAGAAACTCATCCGAGACCAAGATTGTTGGACTAGGAGTTGTAGCACTATTTCCTCCTTGCTTACTGTTTATAGTCATTCTAATAAAACTCACGAAATATATTCAAGAAGAGACTAAGTTCCAAGCTGATAGTCAATAAAGATATACTCCACCAGAAATATGACCAAACCAAAGAACCAATGATGCACCAACAAATCACACAAACCAGTAATATACTCCACTAGAAAATATAACCAAGAATAATGAAGTATATTCCACCACTAAAAGAACTCAGAAATACTAGATTATCTTCAGACTCCAAATTGGTAGGTAGCTGCGAAGGACCAAATCAAGATGGAAGAAACAAAGTTTAGATCGAAATTAGTAACTTGGGACTTTCGGATGACACTGTTATTGAGCAACACTTCTGGGAGCAAGAAAACCTTCTCAAATCGTGGTCAGCTCAAGTAGAAACCATCAGAGACACGCTGAAAATAACGACGTGACCTATGAACAGTGAACCAAGTCTCAAACCCATCTCTCACGCGCCATCGGGACAAATTATGTCAGAATTTCTCTACCGCTGTGTGGGCTTCACAAATAATGAACCAGGCCACCAGATTCTTGAAACATGTATATCAAAAGGATTGATGGTGAGATTTACTTTGCCGGACCAAAGGACTCTCCTAAAACCAGTCAAGTTCCAGTGAGACCGTTTATTTCTCGGCCGGATTTCAAACTCAATNTATATATATACACATGTACATAGGATCCTAATGATGGAAAGAAGTAAAAGGAAAATCCTAAAAATCTGCTATCAAATTTCAATACTTATTCTATCTATTTATAGTACAAGTAATATGTCTACATTCATTCTTTATGTCTACATTCATTCTTTAACAGCTTATAAGTAACAAACATTATATAATCAGTTATTGTTATATTCTTCCTCCTTTCTGGTATATAAAATACGGATTGATGAGAGAATCAACTTCAACAGGGACTAAGATTGCACTTAGACTATTCAGGAAAGTGTGGCCGTAGGAAGGGTTCAAGCTCCAACAATTTGGATTATGCTCATACAGAATCTGTATGGGCTTCAGCTTACAGCGCCGTAGCAGCTGGTGCGGCATTAGTTGCAGGTTTAGGCGTAATAGCATTCTTAAGGAGATCTAGTAACTGATCATTTGAAAATGAAATTTTCCATTTAATGTACAGTGCAGCGGGAATAGCACATTAATTCAAGTGAGCTTAACGGGTCAATTTGATTTGAGTGGATGTTGGCTCTGCTATAGGTTTTGGATTTTTAGCTCTATAATGCAGTCCAATTGTTTTTCTCTTGGTCTATAGTGATGTAAATTATGTCCCTTTGTAACTCACCGATCTTGAAGTTGTCTTCAATAATAAATTGGAGAGAGTATGCATAGTGCCAGGATTTTTGTACCGAAAGGGAGAGGATACATAATTAGTAGTAATTAACTCTTTGTGTTTACTATGTGCTTTTATATTTCTATTTTTTATGTTTCGTTCTCCCCCTTTATTCTCATAGAAAGATGAACAACTTTATTTAGTTATCATTGGTGTACTTAAGAGGAATATTGTTTTGCAATAACTAAATTAAGACAGACATATTGGATTTGTATTTTTTGTCAAACCAACACTTGCTAAGTCCACCCTTTAACTCCCTCCCAAACCACTCCATGCAATATATCCTGCTTCCCACCTTAATTCTTGTATACGAATAAAATTGGGGTTAATGATCACCCCGATTTCCCCGTAGAGCAAGGACATAACTACATGGGATCTGAATCGAAGCAAGAAACTTCTCGTACTAAGGCCCGAAAGGAGTGTTCGCTACCGGGCTTGATAAGACAACACTTTCTCGAACCCAGAACAAGCTCCGAGACCTCGAAAAATATGGCAACAGTTGCACACGACTAACAAAGGGTCGTGATATCCACACCCCACCGGATATCACGGCACAGATCTCGCCCGACACCGGCAGTGGATCAGTAATTGACGAGAAATGAGGAGTTTTACCTTTTTTAGAATTATACTAGGGATGAAACTCTACTACTATATAAAGAGGAAGTTTTTATTTGATAAACACATTATAACACGCATATCAAGGCAATACAAACTTATTTCTCTGCTTCCTAGATATTGAAAGATTCTTATTTTAATTGATGCAATTAAGGGTCTGCTCGAGGAAAAACCTACTGTCTAGCCTAAATTCAAGTCCGGCCTTAACATCACAATTTGTTTGGTTATTCATTCTATTCTTAACTCGTTTACCTAACATTCTTGATTATTTGAGTTGAATATATCCATATATCCTTAAAACCGCGTATAAATTCAATTGTTATCCGTTTTAAGGGTAAGCAATACTCAAAATAATCGACAAGATCCAACGTGATTTTATATGGGGCACTATCACGAGTAGGAAAAGAATTCACTATGTTAAGTGGGATATTGTTACTCAGTCAAAACAAGACCGCCTAGGTATCAAAAAAGCAAAGGACAAAAACCTAGCTTTTTTACTTTCCAGCTTATCCCGGCACCTCTTCTCAAGCCCAAACTCTATCTAGGCCACCATACTTATCACTAAATATAGCCATAAAAGAAACTCCACCTCCCACTCCTTCATCTGATCTAATATCCCGACGGGATGGAAGTACGGCTCAGATGGTCTTTCATGGATACTTGGGCCAGGAAATATTAGTTGTTGGTCCATAGTATGGATTCTCAACCTCCCTCCACTCAGCTCCCTTATCCATGGACCTCTAACCCAACTAGACTCTATCCTAAAAGTGAAGGACCTTTGGGATAATAATCGATGTGATCTCTCAAAATTTTCCTATAACCTACCTCTCCACATCACTCAAAGAATTCATCTATCAACATCTCAAACTTAGAGGGCACCAAAGATATCCTGATTTGGGCCCTTACTTCCAATGGCTCCTTCTCCACTAGAATAACCTACAAGCTTATCTCCTCACGGGGCCATATTAGCTATAGATTTCATTGGATTTGGAAGTTAAATACTTTTAACTAGATTAAATTTTCTTTATGGCAATGCTCCCACAATCGCCTACCCAAAAATTCCCATCTACATCACATAGGCTTAAATATCGATACAGTTTGTTCAATATGTAAAGAAGCCGATGAATCAATAACCCACGTACTCTTTGAATGCCCAATAGCCAAGTCCTTTTGGGAAGAAGTAATCCCACAAAACCAAATACTGGATTACAACTTTGATCACTGGCTCATTAAGCTCAAAGACTGGACCATTAATATGGACCATCTAAATCTCACTTGGAATGAATTCTTCCCGTTTGCCATTTGGCATCTATGGCTGAAGAGAAATAACAATCACTTCAACAACCTCTATAATCTCCTTGCCCTTAATTTTGTGACAATGCATTGTATGGAATTCAAATACACCACCACGTCTCCAACTAATAGCATTAACATCTCCACAATAATGGTAAAACATAACCCCCAATGTCAACTGAGCTTAAACTCAATATGGACGGGGTGTTTAAAGGCAACTATAAAAAAGGCGGAATTGGTGGAATATTTCGGGATAAATCTGGGAACTGCATTCTAGGCTACAAAATGCCCGCTTGTGGCTACACCTCTACCTACATGGAACTTCCCGCACTGAAAAGTGGCCTACAAATAGCAAAACATCACAATTTCCTTAGCTTAGAATTTGAAACTAATGCTACTGAAATACCTCAACTGCTTTCCTATAACAACTATTCTCTCTACTCTAACCTTGTTAATGAGTGCAAGTTACTACTGAAAGAACTGGAGAATCCACTGATCCGACATAACTTCCGAGAAGGAAACAGACTTGCACATGTTTTGGCAATGGAAGGAGACAAGCAGCCAAGCAGCACTCCTTTATCAGCAATATTTCACCCACCGGATATTTTTTGGAACTTGATATATAGGATGACAAAACTGGAACACCTACTGCTAGATTAGTATCTAACAACGTACTAAACATACTAGCTAAACTCGGAAATTTCAATAGTTTCTGTAACCATATGGCTAGCAACCCCTTTGGCTCAGTTGATTTAGATGTCCCTAACGAGGCATCATCTCTGTGTAATGCTACTCCTTAAGTATTAATATAAATTTTGTCGTTCTAGGAAAAAAAAGTATTTGTTGCCAAACGATTCCTTTTTTCTCGTCCTAGTAGTTGGTTGAAAGTTGTGGCATCCGGGAGTTTGTAAATACGACTACCTAATTGCCTCTTACGTTAAAATTGAAAAGTTGGATTTATTCGTAGTCCATTTTTTACTGAAACATGAAGAGAAATTTTATTTTGCATCTCACATGCCAAGTGATACTTAATGAGGCGTTTCTTTACTTGACAAGTGGCAGGTGTCCTCCACATTCTCTCTAACATAGATGAGAGAGAAAACTCTACTAGTGAACACCACCCGGAACCAAAGTAACGCAAACTGCAACTCGAACAACCAAAATAACGTTTAAAAAAAGAATAACAAAGTACCTATAGCGCATGATAAGCATGCGCTATGCCAAATATGCAAGGCTAACAGACGTTTGATCAACTTTGCCTGGGTATAACGTATGCCTATCACGCGCTATACCTGTTCACCCATATAACACCTAAGGCAGTGAGTCTGTTTACCTATCTTCTTCAACTTCTCTCCCATTTTCTTTCTTCTTTAACTTCATCTTAGATTAGTTATGTCTAATGCTTCACAAAGTTCAATGCACTTCATAGAATGTCATATTAGCCGCTATGGAGATTATTGTAAATTGAGGACTGTAAAAAAAGATTATGGAGTTGCAAACTTTCAAAAGTGAGTAATTGTTTTCGATAAATATTTATATATGATATGAGGTTTTACTCACCCATTGATAATTACTTGTTTTATGTTATAGAATAAAGGGGCTTGCAACTATTTTAGGTAGCATGATGACGAACCAACGATTAACCAAAACTCGTCGTCAAAAGTCCCTCGGTTGACGTTGATACCGCGACTTCAAAAAATAATGTGAAGTTTGAATAATAGTTTAGGCACAAAGAAGTCGAAGAGTTCATGGATTTGTTAGAACATTATTTAAAGAATCAAAACAAATAAGATAATACCTAAAAAATAAGTTGATGGAAATTGAACATGAGAGAGACTGTATGAATAAATAACTGAATAAAGATGGAAAGTAGAGGGATCGTCTAAAGTTGATATGTGGTTTATTTTTGTTATTTGTTATTTGGAAAGATTGTGTTGTTGATTAGATTTATCTGTGTCATTTGTATGTATTATGTTGCATCGACACATTAGCAGTTATTGTTTCAGCAGATTTTATGTTTTGTATTTTATTGTTCGACTTTATTTTTAATAAAGAAGTATGACATGTTATGCAAATTCATGGTATATAGCAATTTTGATAATATTAGTAGCTTTTATATTCAACTAAAATGTCATACACTATAAAATTATCGAAATTCCACTAATTTGTAGGATAGAAGCACTCAATAACGTCATCTGATAGATAATCTTCGTTTGTTAGGACATTCCTTCTAATAGCCACTGCCGCTTGTTCCTCAGTACACTCGAGCATGTATAAGACAACATCTTAATAGCATTAAATTGTACTCTTCTTTCATCCTCTTTACTGCATTATGCACGATTCTCGATAAATTTGAGCCATGGTTTTTTGAGAATCTTGTTGGGATAGGAGTTGCGACCAATTTCAAGTCACGAACGAGATGTTATGATCCAGTGATTCGATGTGTTGACTCGTGTTGTAGTCCATAATAATACTTGTTGAAGTTTGGCAAAATGCCAAAGTCCCACATTGGTTGGGAGTTAAGTTTGGGGGGGATTTTTCCCCTATAAAAGAAGGCCTAATGTTTAGGATTGATACACACCTCTCATTTGCCTTCTCATCTGTTTAAGGCATTTGTATCTTCTCTCTTTAGTATTATTTCACTTGTATTTTTGGAGTGGAATAAAATATTGGTTGTGTCCGAGGAGTAGGCAAAATTAGCCGAACCTCGTAAATTCTGGTGTTCCCTTTATTGTTGCTTTATTGTCTTATTTATTATTTGGTGGCTGTCATAATTTTTGGTATAGTAGTTGTGACTTATTCACACTATATACATTTGGCTTCCGCAACAATTGGTATCAGAGCCAAGGTACTGTCTAAGTATGCTCTGTGGTTGCAGCATAGTCTGATCTTCCACATCAGAAAAGATTTATCTTGGTAACTGAGTCAAGGTTCTGTCTGAGTATGCTCTGTGGTTGCAGCTTAGTCTGATCTTCTACATCAGAAAGGAATAATCTTGATTTGTGTCGTCAGCTATTAAATAATATTTGTGTCAAATATGGGAGACAATAAACAAGAAGAATCTACATCAAGTGTCAACAATACGTCATCATTGGCATCTTCGCTTATGACAAGAATTGTGTCAAATGCGAAATTTGCGGTAGAAATTTTTGACGGGTCCGGACATTTTGGGATGTGGCAAGGCGAGGTTCTAGATGTCCTTTTTCAACAAGGGCTAGATCTGGCCATTGAAGAAAAGAAACCAGATGTTATTGGAGAAGAAGATTGGAGAATTATCAACCGTGTTGCTTGCGGTACCATTCGATCCTACCTTGCTAGAGAGCAGAAATATCCATACACAAAGGAAACTTCTGCAAGTAAATTATGGAAAGCACTGGAGGATAAATTTTTGAAGAAAAACAGTCAAAATAAATTGTACATGAAGAAGAGACTGTTTCACTTCACCTATGTTCCTGGTACCACGATGAATGAACATATCACCAGTTTCAATAAGTTGGTCACAGATTTGCAAAATATGGATACAACTTATGATGATGGTGACTTGGCCTTAATGTTGTTGGCGTCACTTCCTGATGAGTACGAGCACCTTGAAACTACTCTACTCCATGGAAATGACGAAATTTCTCTCAGAGAAGTTTGTTCGGCTTTGTACAGCTATGAACAAAGAAAGCGAGAAAAACAGAAGGGCGGAGAAGGAGAAGCACTATTTGTGAGGGGTCGTCCTCAAAATCAAACGAGGACAAAGAAGGGAAGATCCAAGTCAAGATCCAGACCCAGCAAAGATGAATGTGCCTTTTGTCGAGAAAAAGGGCACTGGAAGAAAGACTGTCCGAAGTTGAAGAATAAGGCCAAACATAACAATGGAAAGGCCATTATGGATTCAAATGTAGCTGATTGTGATGATTCAGACTTCTCATTAGTTACAACAGAGTCATCAACATCATCAGACATATGGTTGATGGACTCGGCTTGTAGCTATCATATGTGTCCCAACAGGGACTGGTTCGTGGAATTTCAAGAAGGAGAATATGGAGTCATCCACACAGCGGATAACAGCCCTCTTACCTCATATGGCATTGGTTCAATACGATTAAGGAACCATGATGGAATGATCAGAACATTGATAGATGTTCGATATGTACCGGATTTGAAGAAGAATCTCATCTCTGTGGGAGCCCTAGAATCAAAAGGGTTCAAAATCATTGCAGAAAATGGAGTGATGAGAGTATGCTCCGGTGCACTAGTGGTAATGAAGGCTAATCGGAAGAATAATAATATGTACCGCTATCGTGGCAGTACAGTTATTGGGACAGCGACAGTAACATCCAGTGACGACAAAGAGGCAGAAGCAACCAAGCTATGGCACATGCGCTTGGGACATGCTGGAGGAAAATCCTTGAAAACTCTATCAGATCAAGGATTGTTAAAAGGAGTAAAGGCTTGCAACTTGGAGTTTTGTGAGCATTGTGTTAAAGGGAAACAGACAAGGGTTAAATTTGGTACAGCGATCCATAATACTAAAGGCATTTTGGATTATGTACACTCTGATGTTTGGGGTCCTTCCAAAACACCTTCATTGGGTGGGAAGCACTATTTTGTAACCTTTGTTGATGATTTTTCCCGAAGAGTATGGGTGTATACAATGAAGAGCAAAGATGAAGTGTTGGGAATTTTTCTCAAATGGAAGACGATGGTGGAGAATCAGACAGGCAGGAGGATCAAGTGTATTCGCACAGACAATGGAGGTGAATACAAAAATGATCATTTCAATAAGGTCTGTGAAAATGATGGCATCGTCCGACACTTCACTGTTAGACATACACCACAACAGAATGGAGTGGCAGAACGTATGAACCGGACCTTGCTGGAGAAGGTACGGTGTATGTTGTCCAATGCTGGCTTGGGCAAAGAATTTTGGGCTGAGGCAATTACATATGCATGCCACCTCATTAATCGTCTACCATCTGCTGCTATTGATGGCAAAACACCATTTGAAAAATGGTACGGAAAACCTGCTGTAGATTATAACTCTTTGCACGTGTTTGGCTCAACTGCATATTATCATGTGACGGAGTCAAAATTGGATCCAAGGGCAAAGAAGGCTATTTTTATGGGAATTACTTCTGGAGTCAAAGGATATCGCTTATGGTGTCCTATGACAAAGAAAGTAATATTCAGCAGAGATGTTACCTTTGATGAATTTGCTATGGTAAATAAGGTAACAGAAGATACCAAACAAAATGAAGGTGCTTCTAAGCAGGTGGAGTTTGAGGGAAAATTTATTTTTCCTACACAAGAAGCAGAGGAGGAAACAAATGAAGATTACCCTCTGGAAGGAGAGCCAGTAGAGGAGATTCCAACTCAGGAATCTCAACAACAACTTGAATCAATAGCAACCAGCAGGCCAAAAAGAACAATAACGAAACCTGTTCGTCTCATAGAGACGGTTGCTTGTGCAACCTCAATTGTAGCTGATGATGTTCCTACTACTTATAAAGACGCTGTCCAAAGTTCAGAAGAAGATAAGTGGAGGATTGCCATGAATGATGAAATACAGTCCCTTCATCAGAATCATACATGGAGATTGGCCAATCTCCCGAAGGGAAAGAAAGCAATTGGGTGCAAATGGGTATTTGCAAAGAAGGAAGGATTTCCTAACC